GTATCAGAGGGGGCGTCAAATTCAAACCATGTGCAAATCTCCGAAACCATTTTTTCGTGAACAGTGCCTTTAAAGCATATGAGGTGAAAATTAAGGGATGGCGGCTGTGACAAGCTCACCACGCGGTCGGTTCAGTTTCTGGCTCGATTGTTCTCGAAGGATTTGGTGTTCTTTTTCAACTTCGCACCATACCCTTGCTATTGCTATTGAGAACACATAGATTTACCCTTTTCAAACTCTACTAGGAATAATATTGTGTATGGTTAGAGAGTAAATAAGGTCGAGAAAAAAGTAATGAAAGACCTACATTGACAACAGCATTAGTGTAAGGCAGATGATTCTTGTCCGCCATTGTTATCGCTCGGGATGAGCCGATTTCTCGATCCATTTCTTCATGCAGTTTGGCCTAGAGTCTAATGCATTATAATTGGACAACAGTTCTAGAACAAACTCGAAAACGTTCCTAATATTGGTTGATTCATTCGCTAGAGTTGTGAAAATCAAAAAGAGTTGCCGAAGAATTCCGATATCTGGCGTCTTCTAACAGCCCCTACACTTCTTCGTCCATCAGGGCTCGAATGGCACAGGGAATAAAGTTCTGACAGGAGTCTTGCTACCACGCCAATGTGAGTATAGTAATGAATGGATGCATATTACCTGTACGTCCATGTGGTTAAGAATGTAGACGACTCCCCATGACAACGTATTCGAGGTAGTCTCCATCCCAGCAAACCATAAGTCAAGGCACATATTTTGCAGTTGGATGTGCCTTAATGGCCTCATGTAGGCTGAGAATCGTTGAATTATAGCAAAACCTTTCAATTCTAGAAGTTTCGGGCTCGACAAGCCGTACGACTACTCTTCTTTCAAGCGCAAGTTATACGAATAATTTATTCGTCAATAACTGATGTAAATTACGCGATTGGGAGCAATGAATTGGTGATTTCTCCTCCCTTCCCCCCCNCCCCCCCCCCCCCCCCCCCCCCCCTCTCCCACTATCTATTGCCCCTATCGCGTTCCTAGAAAGGCAGACAAAGCGGTGCAACAAGGCTCAACGCATATCTGCTGTGCAGAGTTGGCGTAATGGTCAGAAAGAGTGCACGACCCTCATGAGCCTCTTCGTTCATTCTAAAGTGGGGCTAGTGGGTTCTAGGAGCCATAACTGGGCCAGCACGTCGAGGAAGTCCAAACTACGGTAACATGACAACACCTCTTTGGCATTGGTTTCTAGTAGGCTAGAGGTGAGCCGACCAACTCCCTATTCCACACTCAAATTCGCAATTTGAGGGACGATTTAAGTGCACTCCTTGGTTATCCTATGAACTTGCGGTTCTCAGGGATCGTTCTCTCACTACAACGCTTTTACGCCTTTAAAATGGAAGGAAATTGTGCCTATAGGAGTGAACTGAAACGTTCTGTCGCTCACTTGAACGATTCAGAATCGCCATCAGCTTCTCGACGTTTTTGTTCCTTCAAAAAGGCCTCGACGTAGTCATTTGTATGCTCTGAGTTATAATCGATGTCCTTCTTATGAGCCTCAATTTGGCGATCGAAAAACGCGTAGAAAGCATCGCGGTACGAAAGTATCCTGAAATCCAAGGAAGTAGCTGTTTATTTATTTCACGATGAAGCTTTTTGTCCTAACACACAAAACAGAAGTTTTTCACTGTACTTGCTTTGTTCTCTCTTGTAGACTGTCAGTTGGCTTCATGCGCGCATCACAACAATCGTTCCCAAAGAATGTTTTAGGGAGGCTATTGTGAAATTGAGTTTTAATTTTTGTAGAAAATTCCGCCTGCTACCCGAGTGAGTGTATTTCTACCCGGTTCACCTGTTAACCAATTATTCATCCTATCTCATTTTTTCCGGTGTGTGGCAAATCCAGAACTAAATCAAGGAATCTCNTCCTCCCCGCTGCATGTTCCGTTGAATTCACAGCTTTTCTCTACATCTTGCGCTATGCCTCACACAAAAAAACCTGACGCCTTACCTATTGTAGGCGGAGATTGGGTGCTGAATGCCTTTCGTTTGTTATGTTATGTATTTAGCCATTGCTACACTGATAACTCAAAGATCTTATAACCGAGTAAGTACAAAATGGCAAAAGTAAGTGGGAAAAATTATATATATATATATATATATATATATATATATATGAAATATGAGAATGTGAAAATCGCAAAAATCGCATGGCATAGGTATTTGGACGAGCTTACCAAATGTGCGTGCCACGGCGTAAAGCTGGCTAGAGTAAGCTGCCTGCGTAGGCCCCAGTGAAAGTGGCGTAACCTCTACAGCTTCCCCAACGCTGTAAGAATTTGTCAGCCTTCAGGTGCATATGTCGGTTGAGCCGCCTCTATGGTCCTCCTTCCGCCTGATCTAAGTCCCCACCTGATAGCGCCTCCTGTGCACATCTTCCTTGTTGGTTTTGTTTTATCGCAACTACATAGTTAATCACAAACTCGCATTCTCAACTTTTGATTTTTGACGTTTACAACTCTTAGCACCCGCAAAGTCTGGCGAAGCTTGAATCAGTCTGTGATGCTCCATCTTGACGACCCTCAATTGATTGATCCTTGTTTTGTAGAAAGACAATTCATCGATTTAGAGGCACAACTCTCGGGAAGAAATTGTATCTGAGATATCTCTCTAGCACTAATCTGTAGCAGCCAAGATTGTACCCACTGTAGGTCACCCACAAAGGTGAAGGAGTTCCAGCGGCGTTGTGGAGGCTGCCACTATTTACGAGACACATCCATTTTGAAAATTCGAACAAGTAGTCGTGACTCATATCTAGCTGTTTACACAATCGGAGTCACCAAGAACAAATCTTCCTTAGCATTTCCATCATGGTAATCTCGTACAACCCCTACATTCCTTACTTTCATATTTCGCGAATTCTGCTAACTTTCCACTTTCTTCGACATCGACGATTCCTTATTAACACTTGAGCTTCTCAACTTTGGAAAATTACCTCAGACTTACCGAACCCTCCGCCCCTCATTTGTGAACGTTGCTTTAAGCATACACCAACTAAATCCCGCAAGCCATATTTACTCTCCTACTACCCTCAAATGCCCTCATTGTTTGTCAAAAATGATGGTCTGAGAAGTTACCTGGCCAAGAGGAAGAAATAAATCATAAAAGGCAATCTTCACATATTTAGTTTTTTTTNTTTTTTTTCGCTTGGAGACTGAAATGAGCGTACCTCTGCCACATTCCTTTGAAGTAAGGTAGATGTTTCGAGCAGGGAAGCATAAAAAGAATCAATGCCATGGGGTGAGCGGTTTCCTTCATTTGACGAGAGAGCATGCTCTTCAATTCGCGAAACTCCTCAACATGATCCTGAAGGACAAAAGTATACTAATATGCTCGCCTATTTCCTAAAAAGTGCGCAGTATGTGGAACAATGTTTGATGGAAAACGTTATGAGCGAAAGTATAGAGTTTTTTATACGTGGTACCTCATCAAAACGGTATCCGAACAGAAGCTGATTGATAACTGATCCAACGGCCACTTCAATAATATCCTGAAACATATAGTTTGATTTAGTGCGGAAATTAGATTTTTTTCAGAGAGGTTTTGACCAGAAATGGCCAACAGTGCCAAAACATTCGCTCATTATTAAAGTCGCTTTTGAGTGCATTTTAAGAAGGAGCTGAAAGGAGATTAATGGATCGGAGCGGTCATACCACTGCGTTCCTTCTTACAGATATTAGTACAAACTGTTCAGTTTCTATATTAGTGCTCGATATTTTTACTACAAAAAGCTTCCATCGACTAGTCGAGCGAAGAAGAGCTATCCATACTTTCACTGTTTTCAACCTAAGCATGGAAGATCACCCATACGGTAGACACTTCACAGGAGGAAATTTGAAGGAACTCAAGCACGTATGTAATTGTGTGTTTGAAGCCTATAATTAGAGCTCGTGCACCCTCGGGCTTAGCCAAACTCCGTTCTCCTTGCTACGTCGTTTAATGTCCTTCAGCAAACTAATGTACCTGCATGTCAACTTTTCCATCCTTCTTTGATTTAATCTGCTCGGTCATCGCTTCGACTTCTCCAAGGACCTTAATAACTTCAAATTGTTAACCGAGTGGAGAACTGAGAACAAAAACCCTATTTGGGCCAAGTTTTCCCATACAAAATAAATAATTTGCTCATAAGTTGAGACACAGCTCAAGAAATGGGAAGGAATCGACAATTACGTCTCATTGCATACCCTCTGTTCCATGCCGTCCTTGCTGAGTCCAAGGTCTCTAAGCACATGAAGAGCAAATCGTCTGTGATCGCGCCACATGTCTCCGTCGGTCTCCACGACGCCGTATTCCCCTCCTGAAATTGAGCGCAGGGAATGGCTAGAGCCGTCGTCTATACTTCCAATCTTTTGCTTAGGCACTAGAATGTTCTAGGATTTGTTTGTTTAATACGATCCAAGGTGTACCGTAGAACAAGTACCATAAATTAAATTGCATTGGTATATTTCCAAAAATGAAAAATCGATGAAATAAAGGGTAAAAAACGGGTGAGAGCCGATTTGATTTCATTCAGGTCGAATGAATATTTACTATTTTCGCATGTGAGGGAACTCTGCATTGGGATGAGACGTTAAAGGCACAATTCGTGATGAGAATTGTTTTTGAGATATACCCGTAGAGCGAATCTGTCGCCTCCTCGTATACCATATACGTATGCTGCTGTCAAATCGGGAAACGGTGAAGATAGGGCGTTATAAATATTTAAAAGTTGTATCGGCCGTGTGCCACAGGCGAACGAAATTTATCGGCTTCGCGAAGGCTGCACCATTCACAAGCGAGACCGATAGAGGAAGCTCATATAACTTGTCATGACCATGGCGAAAATGAAGGACAGTTTTGGACAATTTTGGCTCAATGAGGCAGTCTCTAAGCATTTGCAACATTTGAAATCTCGTCCAATTAGCTGTTCTATGCTGTTTCGGTAATGGTAATCTCTATTCCAGTACAATTCTATTTTAACTACTTTTAGAAAGCCAAGTTTTTGCAACGTCGGCGGATTTTCTATGAATAGAAAGGGTAAAGCAAAATTCACATTTCAGGGTTGTTTGTTTACCACTATTCGTTACTCCCTTTTGTAATTTCGCAACAATTCAGTGCTAAGGGAAAATGTGGTATAAATGGAAAGGATGATGAGTGGAAATGTTTCCAGAACATTCTGGCTGCAAGTATGTAGGCCCCCGTCCGTCTTGGATTGACGGAATGACGGAAACCTACATATGCCATATCTAGCATGGACAAAGGCCTACTATAAGGTTGGTGACTCGACTTCTTGATGTTTTTAGGGTTCTGCTTTTATCTGACTAATCCGATGTGTTGGGCATAAGATTCTGTATGTATCGAGAACGGACTCCCCCCTACAATAATGCTTCGCGAAGCTTGTTTCTGGTTCACTGCTGCTTCGTTGCTTCATATCGATGCACAGATTATTTCTCGCTATGTGACGCGAAAAAGACTACCGCTTGGGTTTGCGAGTTGAGCGGAGGTGAGCAAGCAAACTTGCAATTATTGTGGCTAGCTGATTTTCGTTGTTACTATGTACTTGAATGGGAAGGAACCCATGTTTTACGTTTGTAAACCATTTCCATAGAGTGAAGATGGTTTCCCGAAATGGCGTGATAGCATTTATTCATCTGGCTAAATCCCTTGTCGTTTGATTTGTTTTCTTATGAAAAAGCTGGTTTGATTATTCGCCGTGAAATTCACCTGGAAGGTAGGATAAAAGATCGAAAAATGGAGGTGTTGAAAAAAACTCGATTTTCAATGTGGCATTAGATAACCTGAAGATTTGAAAGTGTTGAGCCTGATCAAAATGCGCATATTCGTAGGAGCTGGACCTATTTGCTTGATATCCGATAGCATGCCAAAAAATTTGAACACCTAGGCAAAATCAAGCTTTTTGAAAAAAAAAACTAAGGGAACTCAATTACAAAACCTCCACGAGTTATTCAGCTTTGTTGACCAGCTGTTCACATTATCAAAGTTAGCGCTCCTGACTTCTACCTTCTACTGCCGTTGAACCATTCTATGCTCAATCAATAGGCACCAGCAACTTGCGAATAAGTTTCGCTATCATACACCTTTCTATGACTGTAGATGCATTGCCGGCTTTGTGGACTATATGCATATTAATCATATCCAAATGTCAATTGGAATTCTTTTCTGTTCATTGTAGAAATTAAAAATGGTGAGGCGTTGGCGGTTGCCGAAGACACTGTTATGTGACCATCAATTGAGCAGAAAAAAAAATTAAAGGAAACGCTTGCGCAACAGGCTTACAAAGTTGTTCTTGCCTCGATATTCTTTCGTGGTTTCTTCGAAGTGATATTTTCCAATATACGCGTCACCATCCTTGACGAACGTCTCTTTTAGTGTTTTGTAGTCGCTTACCATAACAAATGGTGTCATTCCTGAATAAAATTGGCTTTTAGCGCATGAGAAAACAGATCGATGAGCTTAAGTCTATTACCCAGCCAGTAAGTGTAAACTGGACCATACTGCTTTCGCCACATTTCATAGGCCTCATAGCCGGGCTCACGAGCGGCAATTGTATGAAGATTACCAATCACAGGCAGAGGAGTTGGTCCTGAATTTATGCCATCTGTGGAGCTGCTGTACAGAAATATCAAAATCTCAGCAATTCTTCCCGGATAGAGCAAAGTTGTAAGTTCTCACGAGAATGGAGAGTTGTGCACGAAATTTTTGCCCCGGACGGGGCCCGACCTGCTCTTTATCCCTTACACTGCTAAATTATTATTATTTTCGTTACATCTCCTTGACCTAAGAGGGAAGATTGTGGAGGGTAGGCCTCCAATGTCGGGAAAATTGATTGGGTCTCCAACCGGCTTTGGAATGTCAGGGTAAAGTGATTGTAGGTCGTTTGCTGTTCTGAACCCCTTGCCCAATGATGAGGAACCTTGAAGTCGAAGTGGGCAAAAAGAACGATGGACGAGTTGCTTGACACTGTTTGACTGAGTTGCGAAACGTTCATTTTTCCTTGTTCATTTTTCCCTGAAGCCGCGAAGGTGATTCAACAACTGACTGACATAAGCTCAGTGTCGGCTAGCTGGTACCAGAGCCTTCTAGCTACAAACTACAACGAAAAACTCAAAACTATAGCTGCTGAAGTATGAAAAGCCATAGACGGGTGTGCTTATGTGGCAAGGGGCTCACTATCACACACGCATGACCACGGATTTGAGTCCCAAATTGAAATCCACCTATGTCTGTAAAGCCTTCCATCCAATGTCGTATAATTGCCCTCTTCGGATATCTGGCTGACCACTGCAAGTCTTTGTTTGGGCCACAAATGCATCTAATACCTCACCACGATTCTGAATCGAAGTCGAATGGGAGGGGGTGGGGGGTAGTCAACGCTCAGATGGAATTAACGCCAAAGCCTCTATCGTTTATCCTTCGTTCATGAGACTGACTATGTAAGCAACATTCCTCATTCCAGTGAATCTTCCACTACTCACTGGATTGAAACCTATAGATTGGAAAAATTTGTTAGGAGGGCCAGATTTCTCAACTCACCCTACCTGGCGACTCTTTCAGCCTAACGGCAATAATCTAAATACGTTATACTGCCCACATCCCGGGGCTAGGAGGAGCGTACCCGAAAGTCCAACCCTGTGAAGTAGCTACCCCATGTGCGACCTTTCCATCAGATACTAGGCATGATATTACTCATGAATTTTTCCCTTAAAGGCACAGTTCACGATAAATTTGGGTAATCCAGATTATGATGGAAAATGGAAGACAGGATCGAAACTAGTGCGACTGAGGTGAAGAAACTGCGTGCATCGGTGTTTCCGAAGTGAAAAAAGGCTTTGAAAATGTTAAAAAGGGGGCTGGACGTGAATGAAACCAGAAAAATGAAAAAGAGTGGGGCGTCCGGACGAGCTAAACAGTGTGTTTCACTGCGCGCGTGTGGGTCCTGGTGCGAAGAACAGACAATGGTAAGCAAAAATTCATTCACTTATGAGCATAAATAAACAAAAAAAAACCTTACTAACAGCAAAAGTAGCTCACCTTTTTTCAGCCTCTAGGAGTAGGAAATTGAGTAAGGGATCGCGGCAGCAAAAAGAAAAACAGAGGAAAAAAGAATGGGAGAAAAACATCGCCTCATCACTCGGCGATTAGCTGATTGTGCGTGGGTCCTAGAACGAATAATAGCAATCTGTATTGTCTCGACACTCGTCTAACGTGACACCGATCGAGGGGCGGGCACGCGAACTATGGCAACAACGGAGCTGCCACTATGCTCTGGACGTCGAAATTGGGGGAGTGAGAGGGTCCCTTCTACAACCCATGGAGGCCGCTGAGTATTAATAAGGTAAGAACTCAATAACTTTTTTTATCGTGAACGGTGCCTTTAAATGTTCTGTGAAGGTTGCAAATACATTTGCACAAGTAGCGAGGAATTTAGCGTTCCCTCCTTCTATTCTAAGTCTCCAATGTCGGGTGAGCATTTGTATCACTTATAAATGTAAGGAGTATTTAAGGCACCTAGGGGTACTCAAATTCAGAGGTTGTTAACCTACCCACTGGGATGTGATAGGGTCCCTTCTCTCGAAAAAACAATGAGCGTTTTCGCCTTTCTTCGTACCCGCCAACAGTTTACCGAAGGGAGGATTTGATCCATATCAAAGCCCATCGTTTGAGAGTACGATACACAACATTGAAATCCAAAGTTACCTGGTGGGAGATTCCTCCTCTTCCAATGGAAATGATAAAAAATGAATAGAACAAAGATAGCAATGATGAATTGTATCATCCTTTCCTAGAATTGAATGAGGTTCAATGAAAACAAAAAACCATGGCATCAGTCCAAGTGAAGAGATATTTGGGGATCAAATAATAGTCGGAAAATAACATAATTTGAAACTTTCAATTGTGTTCTTGTTTGTCGTTTGAAGGAACCTGTGAAACGTCAACATTTTTTGAGCAAGTGAAAAGTTTCTCCAAGTTTCTCTTATATGTATTAAGGTTTTTTTATGTTGATCAGGGAAACGACAACACACTCACGAAACTAAAAATGCTAGTTAGTTAGCTGAGAACACCTCCGAAAAGGCACTGGAACGAGTCGTTGTCGACTTGGAAAGTGGGTAAATAGAGAAAACACCCTGACGGAGAGAATAAGCTTTGATAATGAAGGGGGTCGGCTGATAGCACCACATGCCAAGGAGCAAACAGATTTGTAGTTGGCAACTGATGGAGACACAATTTCGGTCAAAGAAACGCACACCGCTCACCTTCACCTCGTGTTCCTTTTCATGACGTAAACTGCAAAATTGATTTGGCTTTCACTATTTGCTAATAAGAATTGCTTTCTTACACTCCTCCTACGAATCTGGGAATTCCAATAGAAGTCATCGGATGGAGATAGTGCTCGTTCGAATCCTAAAAAAAGTATTTACACAACAAGAGCAAAACTCACAATTTCTAGAAGGGATCCTGCAGCCTGTAGCATAGATTGAAAGCAAATTCAAACTAACTTGCTCTCCAATTCAATCATATTCTGAGCTTCATATGATAGCCTGATTTTTATAACGTCATTGGAAGCTTTCTCTGGTTATTGTAACGGTCACTTTTATTATTTTCAAGACACGAGTCTGGAAAACATTCCTCCTAACTCACCGCAAATAGTGCCGTCTCAACATTTCACCAACTTTCAGAACATTTTCAATATTCCCGTCGCCTGTATCACCTGTCGTCCCAGTGATCATCGATTTTCTCCGAGCGGGTGCCAGTAATGCCTCAATCGTCCTTTTCACAAGCCAGAGGGGTCCAGTGAACCTTGCTCGCTTCAGAGACACGAGACCCAGCTTTCCTTTCCTTCAGTGCTTTCATGAATAGGGCTAACCATCACGCTAGCGGTCGTTCTGATGTTCTTTTGACTTCCCGAGTGTTCCAGCCCGTAATCGGCCTGGTCCAGTGGTCATCACTATATGACGGGCCTGGCCCATCTGATTTCCGATTTCTTGGCGTATTCAACGGTATTCCTGATCTTCGTTCGTCGACTATGGATTCCATTCTGTACTCGCGTCTATGGGGAAATTCCCAGCATCATCGTTTCAACAGCGCTTCGATTGATGCTAACTGCGTTCTGATCTCGCAGAAACAAGTCTCTGAGGCGTATGTCAAAGCAGGAAGGACCGCAGTTTGAAAACGGTTATGTTTTTCAGCGTAAGAGGAGAATCAGGTAACAGTTTCTTGCAGATGAATACCGCCTCTGTGAGTTTAATTAAGCCGATCTTTTCACAAGTCAAATTCGATCAGCAGTTCCGCCTATTCGATGTTCGGTGTTATAAGCACAATTTTGCCTGCATAGCGGGGTGGTCATCATAGCCTATGTATTTCACCTCTTTCAACCCTATTTTGGCAGTCAATTTGACGTAGAGTTCATGAAACATTCTCGTATGTTAAATGTAGACCCCTTACGTAGATATGGTCGTTTATGCTGAACTCTGTGCGAAACCCCGCACGATCTTATGTCTGTCTCTGTAGGCTGTCCAACTAGTAATTTACCAATCCTCCTAGCAATGACTCATGCAAAAAATTATAAATTACAGACAGCAGGCAGATTGGCCGATAGTCGCCAGTATCGCCAATATACGTAGGCTGGCTTTCATATTTCGGGATTAGAGAACAAAAATAAATGCTTATCATTGAAAATCGTTTTACTGCCTTCAAAGTTTTCTTATTAAGATCTATACACTTTTGAATGTGCCCGCACCAATTTTTGAGGCACTTTTGCCACTCTGGTTGAGGTATAATAACTCTAAAACATGTATTCTGAACGAATCAACCGCTCTTCAGGTGTCGAAAAACGTTACCCTGTCATTTTATTTTCTACGTGCGGGACAATAAGAAGTCGAACGGAGACTATATGGCTGATGGCTCATCAAATCGTTGTTCTAGTGCTAAAAAATGCAGTTGTTTGAGCCGATGCGTAGGAGTTCGCATTGTCGTGGTTAAGAGTGATCCGTCTTCGGCAGTTGGTTTTCCTGATTTTTTGGAAGGTAACTGGCAAACGAATGGTTGTATACCACCAAGAATTGACTGTTCTGCTTGTTCTAGTGGTACGGTTGCGACATGTCCAGTTTTTCCAAAAGAAGCAGTAGACCAATTGCTTGGAAGTGTCGGTGCGCGGACAGCTTTTGCTGGATTTGGCTCAACTTGAAATACCCATTCGGTCGACTACTTTTTACTTTCGGGCTCATTCGCGTAGACCCATGTTCCATCACCTGTCTCGATATCATAGACGTGCTTCGAAGCACCGCGATCGTATTTTCTCAGCATTTCTTTCGACCAATCGATACGAGCCTTTTTTGTCAAACTGACGAATTTTGTGGGATCAAGTTTTTTTATAGTCAAATGTTCATGCAATATTGAATGTATGCTGGTCCCCGCAATGCCTACGGTTTTCCCAATCTCAAGGTAGGTCATATGATGGTCTCGCCATATTAGTTTGCGCACAGCATTGGCACAACAACTGATTTTGGAGACCTCCACGAAATTCGTCTTGGAGCGAACTCGGTTCATTTCACCATACCGTCGAGAAACACTGGTCCTTGATGGAGCTTCATCGCAAAAGGGGAGGGGAGGTTAAGGGGAAGGAGGTTCGGCCTAAGTGGGGGGAGAGTGAGGGCGCCAAGGGCCTAAGTAAATTTTTTAAGTTAGTGTAAACAACACAAGAGCGCTCATATGTCAAAACGTTCTGAGTAAGTATAACCTCAAAAGAATCAAACTTTACGATAGAGCTGTCAGTTACCAGATTGCAACACTAGGGTTGCTCAATCTCGAAATATAAAAGGCAACCCTCGTATACAGCAGCACAGTCTTGCTAGTTTTCGCGCCGTGAACACTTTTCATTTCCACAGGTACCGAGTCAGTGCTTTGACGATAACTGGTCGTAGGCTCTTTGGATGTCCTGATTTATACCTATAGAGGGATGGCGCCGTACAGTCCTTTATCGAAATGATGACAAATATCGGCCGTTAGCTTACCCGTAAAGAGTGCTATATGTAATTCCTTCAATGGCTTGCTGACTGGGGACTACGACTCCGCTGAGTTTTTGGTTATCCACAATTAATTTTTTGGTGCATTTGCCGTCTCTTTTTTTATTTATTTTTGTTTCATTTGTTATCAGAGTACATTCTCATTTTTCGTGATGCGAACTAACTAAGTTACTGTCCTCAAACATCTTTGTTATATAAATGTGCATACATACAGTAGCAACCGAAAGTTTCACTTTTTTCTTTTTTCTTACTTTAAAAAATCACACGAAGTTTTAGTATGGTTTCCAAAGAGATATGAATTCTTGCCGCTGTTAAACTGCAATCAGCTATTGTTGAGGGTACATCAGTGAGATTTAATTCTATTTCAATGGTAAATACAGATAGCATAGCATTGACTCAAGAAAAATCGCTTTTCGGAATAGCATAGTGTAAAACACCAAAAACCTCTTATGGGACTGTCGATAAATCTCGGCATTCATTTATTAGATTCGAAAATTATTTTTGAGCTGTGGAACCGAGATATCAACAAACTTTATTAGGCTGACGTTTCGGCGCCTTCACCTTTCTCGGGCCTGGAAAGACAAAAGACACTTGAAAAACCACTTGATCGAGGACTATTTCATTCT